TGCTAAGAAACTTACTTTACTACCTACTTACTAGGTTGTTATATGAAAGTAGTCTATTTAGTCGATGTTAAGAGAGATTTTTGTTAATTTTCAACGTTTATTTGCATAGTTTGTTACATAAAGGTTTTTTCAATTTATGTGAGTTTAAAGAGATCTCAGTGATGCTTAAAAAAGAATAAATTTAACATGAAACAGTGATTTTAAGTCTGGTTTGTCTGACTCTAAGTCTGATTAGTTAGAGTGATTAAATTAACTAGGTGTATATCATAAAATACGTTGATTTTTGTCTAAATTTTGATTTTTGATTTCTGTAAGATTTTCTTAATTTTTATTAACCCTCAATACTGAAATAATCCCGGGATCCCGGGATCGAATAAGTATAATCCCGAAATCCCGGGATTAGAAATAAGGACCGGGATCGAATTCCCTACCCGTGAGTAATTCACTGAGTTGTCCACTCGGATTCAATCCCAGGTAGGCAGACACTATTAACCATTTCGGCCATCATTACTACTACATGTAAAAGTTAAGTAGCTTTTTTTGTACCACTACTACATAGTTAAGTAAAATCTGTATACTAGACATAAATAGTCAGCAAATTTAGTAATAATGCAATCTTAGAATGACAAGCATGGTTGAGTGGGGTATAAAATAGTTTAATACTTTCACAGACTTTATGAGGTGTTAGGAAGTAATTTGACAAACAGTACATTGGAAATAAATGTAAATGTAAATGTGAGTTGTACAAGTCATTCATATGCAAACATTTGATGTTATGTATTATGCTAAGAATTTTATCATAAATATGGAAAATACAAGAATCTTTTCAAAAAGAAAATAAGGAATAATAGTTTGATTTCTGGCTAATCTCAATTTCCTTGCATGTGACTATCTGACTAGCTGTTAAATGCAGGCAAACGAAAAATCATTTGATTGGAGCAACATTAATATATAATTTTGAGATGAAATTTGTAGGACTCAAAATATACAGGGTGCTATGAAATCTATTTTGCATATATCATATTCACATACAGACGCAAAATAGATCTTTCCAGCATTGCATAAATAGAGACATATGATGCATTAGTTCCTCTGCAATGTTTACAGCAAAATCTTTTAAAAGAATGAATTAAATCAAGGGATGTGTGTAAATTACAATGTAATTCCAAGGCAATACAGAAGTTTTCCCATCTTGTCCCAAGTGCAAGCATAAAGGATATAGACCAACATTATCAAAATAAACCATATTTTTATTAATTTAGGCACAGTATATAGGTAAATAAAAAATGTCTTCAGTGGCAAAGCAACATTGATACATAAGACAGTAACACTAAGTTTGCTAAAAATCTCTTGTATCTACTTCTGTAGCTTTTAGATGATCTGGGTTGAAGCCCAGGCAACATGGTAACACTGGAAAGGGATGGCATTGTCCTAGCCATCAGTTGTTGAACTTCGCCATGAGCCACTGATGCAAATCTACCCGAGAACATGTTGGTTGCTCTGACGGCAAGTCATTGAGCCATTTGTCTATTGCACAATCGAGATTGATTGTTGTTACCATTACAGGACCAAGAATGTTCACTCCAGACATTTAGCCTGAAAACCTACCAGGTGTTGATAATATTTTTTATGTATTACAAGACTTTTGGCCCAGCAACACCAGCATCACTATGACAAGTTTAAAACATTTGATGCTCTTCATTGATGATTTGATTTCAAAGTCCAAAAAATTTCACTTGGAAGATTTCAAGTCAGAACAATTTTGTCAGCAATGTGCATAAAGCTCTAAGATTGTAATTAAAGATGCATCCATACTAAATTTGTGTCATGTAGCAGCTGTTGAGACTCACCAATATTACAAGATAACACGTGCATTACATGCATGTTATTTTGTAATATGATGTATTTTAAATGGAATGTGCACTACATTCGAATTATTTTGAACTGATGTCCTGGAATTCAGTTGTTACATGTAGTTTGAATCTGGCTAGTAGAAATAGCTAAAAACATTTATTTTTGGGAAAATTGTAACCAGAAAATCTTTATAATCCAGCATTTATTGTCTAGCTGCATATTCAAATCAGGCCAACATTGCAGAAAGTTTTATCTAAAAATTTATCTAAAATATATAAAATTACTTGTCCTGACTGACTGATTCATCATCGCACAGAGCAAACTGTTGAACCTAAAGAGGTGAAATTTGGTACACAGTTGGGGTACATCATAAAAACGCGCACTAAGAAGGAATTTTTGGAAATCCCCCCGCAATGGGAGAGGGAGAGGATTAAGGCTTAACCTGAAGAATGGCTTTACTATACTATTTTAGATGCAATTTTTTGTTTTTAACTATGTTTAGTCTTCATCGAGTAATTAGGTGCATTAAATTTATAACATTTCAGACACTGTTATAAATATTTTTATATATTTCGATTTTTTAACCAAATGTTTGAGCCGTTTTAAATTCGAATTTGTTATTGCATATTGGTTTAATTATAGAATGATTGTAAACATTCCAGAAAATTGATCAAATTGAAAACAGTTCGTTTGATTCTCAGCAATTGTCATTATTCTCAGCAGTAGGTGTTATATAACAATTACTATGGTTGTTGAAATATTAAATATAAATGGGTGAAGTCGCGGGTAACAGCTAGTTGTGTATATTTGTGTGGAGTGCACAATGGTATACAGTTATAACTTGCATATTGTCTCTATAGGATATGTTACTTTCCAAGTCAATATATTATCTTTTATAAATTTCAAGAATGATCCTCATCATTTATCAAATAACCATTTCAGTGGATTATTTTATTTATCGTTCCAAAACATCCTTTTGTATCAATATAAACACAACGTTTATGCAGCACTCGAGAAGCGCTTTACAGCAAACCCTCTGAAACCCGTTTCTAAATGCAACGCTGCAAGAGGTCGCTGCAGCAAAGATAAAGCTGCTTTTATGTCTGCTACACGTGTAAAGCAAAATGGACGCTTGTGTGTATAATACGATATTATGCTGTAAAAAGAAAAAAGTCGAAGTGACTGTTGATAAAAATATTATGGAAAGATTAAGAAGGATTAAATTTTATGAAATGACTCTGAAAATTATCTAAAGAATAAGAAAATACTATATTTTAAATATAATTATATATCTTTTATCTCTTTACTTTGTTCACATTTATGGAAAGATAAATGCTCGATTCTTTATATCTCTTTAATTCCAGTTACAGCTGAAAATAATGCTTTAGTTAAAGAACTACAATATTTAAATAAAGGATAGATTATGACATCTGTGTTTCGCTCAAGCGGAAAGCGTTTCTAAACTATGATGTCACGAGAAGCTATCGCTACACATTGCTGCATCATTTACGCTGCACTCTCGCTGCATAAAGAAACACAGCCCTACTGTTTTGCTTTATCATATATAAATCACTTTCCACATAATCCATAGAAAGTAAATATTTAGGAATACTGAAATAAGTGGACTTTACTGAAGATAGCATTTACTTTGCAGGCATGAGACAAGAGTTAAAATTTTAACTTGTAACTAATGTTCGAACACTTGATTTGAATACCTAATTTATTATGAAAAGCATTTTACCTTTAATCAAAATTCTAAATAAAATTACAAATAATTTTTTAATTATAGTAGGTGCAGCTCATTAGTGTGCGGGGACATTTGATGATAGGGAAGCTGTGCGGCTCAGGATAGAATCATTGAAAGCATTATATGATATTTTGGCATGTAACATCCACAAGCTAAATTGCATGAGGTTGGTGCTCTGTAAAGAGAATGCGCGAATGCCTGTAATCTGGCTGCTTTACACGATTCAAATATTTTTGCCATGGAAGCTGTTCCATATTCGACAGTACAGCACTTCCATTGGGAATATGCATATACAAATTTATATTTGAATATGCAATAGCAATCTTATTTCTATACTACATGTGAAAAAAATGATAAGATACATAATGCGGTTATAATAAAATATTAATTTTATTTAATTCAAAGTATGTTAAAATATGAAAATAATTGCACAGTATGTATTTATATTTTAGAAAATACAAGAGAAGTGGTGCTTCCACAGTTTCCATGGACAACACATCACTGGTGCAACTAGAATTGGCCATTGGGTTGATTCATTTTTGCATCTTTAAGAGGTGAAAGAATGGTTTATGAATACATGTATATGACCCTTGGGCTTCACTTTGTCTAAAAATGGGGTCGAGGTTCGTGTGGTTAATTTAGTTAATTAAATCAACATTCTTGACTAATAAATTGATAAGACAATATGCCTATTTTTTTTTTTCTTAATCTCCTCTATAGCACAATAAGATAAATAAACCCATTGGCCAACTCTGGTTGCACCAACTATAAATGTGTTGAAACTGGGTGACATATTTTTGTAATATTAATGAATAAATTAATTTATATGTAAAAATAATGTGTGCTGTGTGCAACATTTGATATAGTGTTTAAAAAGTATATATAAGACAAAATTTACCTTTGTAGTCTGGACAAAAGGCATCACTTTTTTCATATATTTTTTTAATTCTTCAACTTCCTTTAATTTAGATGCTATAATTTTGTTGTCAGGAAAACATCCTTGTTCCTTTTATATAAAAAAATGAGGATTATATTAAATACATTAAAAGAAATTGTAATAAAAATCAAACATAAATCTACAAAAGTAAAGTGTGATATATAATAAACATCCCAAATGCATTGATACTAAACCAAACAATTGCCATAATTAATCAGGTTATTATTTTGCTATTAGATCTAATACCAAATGAGAAATTATTTATTGTGACATTAAAACTTGTAGTCCGGCATTGTGACAATTTATATAATTTAAAATATATGCTCTCCACTTAAATTAGTAGTGGCTTGCCCATGTACTATACATTATACCTTTCCTTTAACAATAAAGTCATGCCAGTCATCTATCTAACACCTCTTGGAGAAAATTTTGCTGGGACAAACATAGGGTCACTGTACATATCTTTGCACATAAAACTATACAAATCCATCTTTTATGATTGTTTAACATGCCATTTCAATTTTTCAGGCTATTCCCACTCTTGGTTGGCTTGAAACAAGAATACGCTATTCTTACTCTGATAATTAGAGTTTATCTATATTTATACACAAAGTACACAAACGGTAATGCGCTGTAGCTATTTTCATGGTAATTATTGATTCCAAGGATTTAAATATTTTTGCTTCTCATACCAAACCTGTACACTAAGGTCTTTGGAAAAGACTACAAAATCATGCATGAGCTAACGACGTCGCATGGAATCATGTCAGCTTGGCATTTCTTATCTCTAAAAGGAGAACCGACACCCCTTTCCAAGAACTTTAAGATTTTCATGTAAAAGTGCTGAAAATGTGAACACCTGAGACCCACATGCTGGTTAACAGAATTTCACTGTATACCCAACAAAATGATGGGTCACTGCAACTTTTTAATTTCAATATAGTACATTTGGGAATGGCTGATTTAAACTATCTATGATGCTATTTCATTAATTTGTTAATATGAGCATTTGAATCATGTTGTCAGCTGCACACAATACTTTACCGAACATAATTAATTTGTTTTTCTGCATAATACTAATTAAAATCCAATGTATAAAATGTAATTTCAGGCTAATAACATAATACTATATTATCAAAACTAAAAAATGTTTTTGGTAATTTTAATACAATAAAATGATTTTATTAGATTCAGAGTAATTTTGTGGTAATTATCAATGTTTATTTAAAAATGAAAATTACTCTACAGATTGATCTTTTTTGTAATTAGCATGCTAATGAAAGAAACCAAAATGAATTTCAACTTACATTATATAAATGCTGTAAAGTCGTTAGTACCAATGACTGCCAAGGTGGGAATGTCTTTGCAACCCATATGACTGCGTGGGTAGGTTTCTGAAGTTTATTTTCTCCTCCACCTTTCTAAAATTAATATTTTCAATTACTTTAAAGCAAAACAGATGTACAATTTTATTATTTTGAAGACGAGTACTCACTTTACCCTTGCTGCCAACTTGATAGTACGCTTTGAGCCTAAGTCGAAATTCGTGAGCCGAATCCATAAGATACTGCGACGATTTCAATAACATTTCGTCGACAACTCCAGTCATTGGCCATCTTGCATTTAATATACTATGATTCTGTTTAAGTTATATATCATATTTTATATGGTTATGTTAATAAGTATGAGATAATAAAATATAATATACCTTTCCTATTAATCCCCAGATATGCTCACAAATATGTGGGCATATAGGAGATAATATAAGAACCTGTGTCTCGATAAATAAAAATACGAGATAACGATGCATGCCTTCGTTTACCGTCATCTCTCGGTATTTGTCTCTCGCCGCTTGATATTCAAAAAATCCAGTCTTTAAAGCTTCTTTGAAAAGCATTTTTTGATAAAACTGGGAAGTTTGTTGAATGAGATAGTTCATTTCACTATAATATAAGATTAAAAGTTTCATTTATACAAAACACATTGTTTAAGTCTTAAATATTTTGTAATTTTACAAATTTTTTCTTTAAAACTTTCATTTTACGACATATAAAGAAAAATCATTTCAGTATTTGAATTTTTTAGTGGCTACAAGATTTGTCACAGATAGTCAGATGATTGAGCAGTTAAAGCAGTAGTCTACTGCTCTGGGTGACCCAAGAATGAATAAAGGCAGGTTGAAAAACTCTAGAAATTTTCTGTGGGTGGTTTTCACCGGATATATTGGAGCCAACCCTTTGTCACCTGACCTAATCCATAATGGTCTTGGTAAAAAAAGGCCTTCTTAGTGCCCACAAGGTGGAGAATAAAAGAAAATCTGTCAGAGAAAATTGAGTATCCTTTCAAAAGTGATTACTAATTTGAACAGTTTTAGAAATAAAATTGCAAATTTGAGTTAACTAAATTAGTTATGCACGATTCCATCGTATCAAGAATTTTAAAAATATAATTCTACACGTCCATAAATTTCAATCTTAAAATTGCATAAGTGTGTATTTGGTTTTTATTTATTTATATAGTAAATGTTAAAATGTAAGTATCGTCATGAAAAACCTTTGGATGCTAGAGGTGCAGTATTGAAATTGTTAAACTTTGTAAGGATTACAGAGAAAAGAAAGATTGGATTACAGCATTCCTTATTCACATATAAATATGGATTCAATACAGATGAAATATCAATAGAAATTAACTGGATTCACATACTGCATTTCCATCGAGAGCTTGCTCTAATATGTAAAAATTGCTTGTTTTACATTTTTGAAATATGTCTTGCATTACTTATAAGTGCATAAGAGCATGCCGTCATATGCAAGGTATGTGTGCCAGCTTGTTTTTGCTTATATGAGCACTGTATTGCTGTAGTAATGTAAATTAAATGTACAGTACACTTACAGATACAATATCCTCCATTCACTGACAAAAATAAAAATATGCTTCCATAATTATAAAAGATTTTTAAAGTACTTTCAAAAATATAATGCAGGTTTTGCCCCATCAATAAGAGCATGCTCTTATATGTTTGGGAACATGGTGAAATTTTTGCAGATAGGACATAGTTAAAATCAGTAGCATGTCCAATTGGAAAGCATAGAAGGACAGTATGGGAAGGACATTGGAAAGAAAGATTATAAGTGCATCTATGATAAAAGAAAAGGGAGGAGCAAGAGGAGGAACAGATCTAAGAAAAATATAGAACATAAAAGTAGATATTTTACATCTGTTGGAAAACTTATAATGAAAATAATTTGCATGTTTCAAACTAAGAAGTAATTATGCTTTATTAATTAAAAGCCAAAGCATAATTTCTTGTTAGTTTTAAGTATAAATTTATAGTTCTTTAATATTTTTTGAAATGATATAGTTCTAAGAAAAGGTTTTATTATAAACTTTAACAATACCTCATAAATACTTTGTCATTGAAAGAGTTAGTGGGTCCAACCCTTAGAGATTCTCTTGAAGTAATCATTTCTTTAACCCATTCCAAAAATGCATACAAACGAAGAATTCCTGCATCGGCCATGGTTTCTACAAAATTTGCATCTTCGATTCCGTCACCCGAATCAGCCAAAGCCAGTCGCATCCCTGTTCAAAATTAATGAAAATTTTTAATAATTTTAAACAAATCAAAACGTCAAAAAGTAAGTAATAATAATAATAATACCATCAGCCGAGAATTTTTCGATAGCTTCCGATAAGGTAAGAAAATTTCCTGTAGATTTTGACATCTAAAAAGTTTTGTTTTATTTATTTTTATTTTTAAAATAATAAATTTTAATTACATAAACAACATACTTTTTCAGAATTTAACAGCAGATGACCATTCACTCTTATACCCAAAGGCCACAAGTTGGGTTCTTCTGGCCACATGGCACAATGAGAATACAGGAAATAAGTGAGATGGTTCGGAATGAGATCCTTCCCTGAACAACGTAAATTGAGTGGATACCAGTACCGAAATTCTCTCCTTAATTTATCAAGACTTTCTTTAGAAATGTCTGTGGAGGGGTATGGGGCATTCTTAAAAAATATATAGTCCCAAACTTCTGGTACAAGTTGTTCTGCCCTAAAAAGATATGTTTTTATCATTAGATTATACTTTGAATCATAACCATATTTATTTCTATGATAAATATGCACATTCTTTGAAGAAATGTAAACAATATATAGATCAGTGATTCTCAACCTTTTTTTCATCATGGTACACTTTTAATAATTTAAAAATTTGGCTGCACACACGGTTACTTTGGTAAGTACTGCAGGACAACCGGTGACATCATAACAGTGATTATTAAATGCATTTGGTTATTTAGGTCACATTTTCTAAATGCCTTGGTAACTACCGGCAGTTACGGGTAATACCAGTTACAATTTCTAGGAAGGTAGAACCGATTAAACTACTTGTCTGACATCATTTATGTATGGATATTTGCAGTGGCAGCACAGTGGTTAAGAATAATTGATATAGATGCTCACTTGACTGCTATTTTATTCATTCATTATTTATTATACAGTGGCCAAACTGGCTTGTAAGCTGCACATGACTTCCAGATGCTTATTACACTCCCATATACTTATACAATTTCTTTTTATAAACTTGGTACATACTATTTACACATATAATATTTGTGTAAGTTTTCTGACTATAATGTAATGTAATATACACAAACACTTAAGTGTAACTTGCAACTTAACCTAAGGATACATTCACAATCAAAAGAGTTAAATGATTGTAACCTAGCCAGTCATAACAGTAAACTATTACTATTATAATATAGTATTTTAACTATATATAATATAGTTAAAATACTATAAATTAATGAGGCAGTTCTCCAGTAAAGGATATGACTTTTGTGTATTTCTGATAGATACTGTGTAACTCCTATCCTCCCGCTTTATAAACAATCTTAAAGCAAGCTACAACAAAATATGCTATAAATATCCAAGGTTTTGAGTAATTATAAAACAAATTTGATTGTGATTTCAGAAAACTGGCACAATCACATTCACTAATCATTTTCATTGTGTGTAATATGTTTTCTAAATAAATGTAGTTTCTTTGCTTTCAATTATATTAGGTGTACCTCTTTATTAGAAAGCCATAAGCTGCCACTAGTCTTTTTCTATATAGCAACATTCTAGATCAGTGATTCGCAAACTTTTCCTGTTCATATACCCCTTTTATGAAAATTTCATATACCTGTAAACATCCATAGATTGAAAATACTTAAAGAACATCAAACATTTTTCAACAGTTGCTCCATAATCACCAATTTTTAATTATTAATTTGCAATTTAAAGTACTACAGCACTTATTTTAGCAACATAGACATGAAATTAATCAATAGATAAAAAAGATTACTTTAAAGTTTGCAAGAAACTTTTAAATAAGTTTCTTGCAAACTTTAAAGTAATTTTTATGGACATATGATTTAGAATTTCCTAGATCTAAGTATAAAAGTATTTTCTAAATTAAAAAATTGCTGATTTAAAATTACATTTGATAGCAATTATACAGGGTGGATGGAAAATAATCAATGTCTGGTTCATAAACTTTCTAAGACAATGATGATGAAAATCATTCGACATGTATTGTATTATGTACCTTATGTTGTACCATATGTATGTACCTTATTAAATGGAAATATGGATGCATGATTTAAAATTTAATGTATGCACCAACACCATCCATCAAGTTCTCAAATGACAGAGGATCATGATGTGGATGGATAGATGACCATTTCAGTGTGTCCACTACCACATCTTTGGTAGTGGACATACTGAAATGAATGACAAGCTTTGAATGAATTTTTATTTTTTTTTTTATATTTTTTTGGGATGAATTGTGGATGATGTCCCTTCACCTTACTTCAACATCTCTGCATGGCAACCAATGATTTCAACACATCATAGCAGTCAGCAAACTGTGCTCTTTCCCAAACAGACAAGTGGTTGGCCATTTTTTTTTGCCACTGTGCATGTCNATATATAGTCCCAAACTTCTGGTACAAGTTGTTCTGCCCTAAAAAGATATGTTTTTATCATTAGATTATACTTTGAATCATAACCATATTTATTTCTATGATAAATATGCACATTCTTTGAAGAAATGTAAACAATATATAGATCAGTGATTCTCAACCTCTTTTTTTCATCATGGTACACTTTTAATAATTTAAAAATTTGGCTGCACACACGGTTACTTTGGTAAGTACTGCAGGACAACCAGTGACATCATAACAGTGATTTTTAAACGCAGTTGGTTATTTAGGTCACATTTTCTAAATGCCTTGGTAACTACCGGCAGTTACGGGTCTAATCCTTCCAGCTATATTTTAAAGTAAAACTTAGTTTTAAATGTCAATTTTATTGAAGAATATTTATTCAAAATTAAATATATGTTAAATATATTTTAAAGTAAAACTTAGTTTTAAATGTCAATTTTATTGAAGAATATTTATTCAAAATTAAATATATGTTAAATTTTACCTCAAGTGTATTTGTCAGATATAAAATATTTTCAGCTAATACACTACATTCATCAAAGTCTAGTGTTAGATTTAGAGCATTTATACCAATTTTCTCTACATTTTCCTGTAAATATCAAAGAGCATTTTATCTTAGAGTTTGTAAAGTTTCTAAATAATTAATTGAGTCATAGTTACTGGCTTTGAAGAGGCAATCTGGCAGAGAGGGACCGTTAAAACATGCTAGTGATGTGTGGCTGCATATTGTAACAGCCACTCTCTGCCAGATTGCCTCTTCAAATCTGAGTGATTATTCAAATTCTAACACTTTAATCTTTGATATAACATTATAATATTTTATAGTCAATACTCATTATTTTTTGACTCTCCATTCTTTAGATATTAAGAAGCCCTTTACTATAGGCTTGACCAGGTCTATAAGGACAAGAGCTCAACACATACGGACAGGCTACCCGTGAGTAGAGGATTTGATCCCGGGATCTCAAAAATCGGGATCCCGACAACTTTTCAGTCCCAAAATTTTCGGGATTAAGTTTTCCTAATCCTGAGATTTTCAGGATTGACATCATTTTAAAAAAAGTTGCAAAATAGACTGCACGAAGCGAAACGTTCAGTGCCAGTGCTTTTAACAGAATTGCTTGCCTATCATTTTAATATAAAATACAAGAAATTTTATTCCAAGCAAGCAGCAGAAATTAACCTAGCGGGCTTGCGATGCTTGCTTGGAATAAAACTTCTTGTATTTTCAACTAAAATGATAGGCAAGCAGTTCTCACTGGGTTACTTGGTAATATACTTCATTTTTGTATTTTTGAATTTTCGCGGGCGCCAATCGATTTTCTGGCGCAGTC